TGCTGGGTTCTTTCCATTCTCATTCAAGGAGTTGTGGTTATTTTGTTTCCCCTCTAGAACATCTTTTAGTAGACTGTGTAGCCTTGGGTTTGTCATCATGAAATTCTTAATTTGTTTTTTGTCATGGAAGTATTTCACTTCTCCATTGTACTCGAGGGAGAGTTTTGCAGGGTATATTAGTTTGTGTTGGAATTTGTTTTCTTGCAAGACTTGTACTTTGCTCCTTGCTCTTCTTGACTTGATGGTTTGTGAGGAGAATCTGCCATTATTCTGATGGGTTTTCCTTTAAATGTGATCTGTTTCTTTTCTGTAGCGGCTTTTAGTGTACTGTTCCTGTGCTGAATTTCTGGGATCTTGATTATTATATGTCTGGTTGTGTTTTTAATTTAGTTGATGTTATTTGGAATTCTGTATGTTTTGGTTACCTGAGTTTCAAATAGTTTTCCCATGTTTGGGAAGTTTTCTGCTCTTACTTCTGTCCATATTCTTTTTATATCATTTGTATTGACTTCTTCCTTCTCATTGATGTCTATTAGTCTCATGTTGTTCATCTTTGAAGCATCTTGCAGGTATTGTGTTATTTTTTCCTGCATCCTAGTTGTTTTTGAGAAATCTTTTCTTACTTTTTCACTAACTGCAATGGTATCTTTAAGGCCTGAAAGTCTATTTTCACTTTCATTCAAATGGTTTGGTAGCTTGTGATTGAGGTTTTAATTTCCTGTATATCACTTTGAATTTGTTTTATGCGTTCTATTTTTTTCCTATCTTGCTCATTCAAGGATTTCATTATTTGTATATTCTGCTTTATTTCTTTTTATCAGTGTCTTCTTTAGAAGCCCTTAGTACTTCTTCCATTATGGTCATCATTTCTTGTTTTACTTCAGAAATCGATTCTGATCTGATTTCCTCTATACCTTTCTGCAGTTGTTTCTTTACTTCTGATGCTATTATTTCAGAGATTTCAGGTGTGTAAAATCCAATTTCTTCTGTGCTACTGTCTTCTGCATTTGTTCTGTGTGGACTCGGGGCCTGAGACTGCATTTTGTTCCTTCTTTTTGTTGTTTTGTATAGCACTGTCTTCTGATCTTTGGTGTAGAGCTTTGGTAGAGTTATTACCTTAACACCAGGTTGGATCTACCATGTTCAAACTCGTTCAAATGGGTGTGGCTTAGATCTGGTTGCTGTGCTCCACTTCTTCCTGTTGGAGCCCTTGGAGTTGAACCCTCTGTGCCACTCTGGCAAGGTGTTCTGCTCCTGAATCAGCTGAGTATGTCTTGCCTCTAGCCTCTTTGCACGGAGTTCTGTTGCAGGTTCCACACTGGGCCTGGGCTCTGGGTCGAATCTGTCTGTTGTTGTTTACTTCTTTTTCTTCTCTGTTTAATTGTTTGCCCTATTTGCTGGGTTCCTTCCATTCTCGTTCATTGGGTTCTGATCATTTTGGTCCCTCTCTTGAATATCTTTTAATGGTCTGTAGGGTTGGTTTTGTCATCATGAAATTCTTTAGTTATTCTTTGTCGTGGGAGTATTTTACTTCTCTGTCAAACTTGAGAGTTTTGCAGGGTGTAGTAGTCTGGGCTGGAATTTATTCTTATAGAGGACTTGAAGTACTCTAGTCCATGCTCTTCTTGACTTCATGGTTTGTGAAGAGAAGTCTGCCGTAATTCTGAAGCATTTTCCTTTAAATGTGACCTGTTTCTTTTCTCTAGTGACTTTCAGTATATTGATCTTGTTCTGGATTGATCTCAACTATTATATGTCTGGGTTTGGGTTTTTTTGTTTTCTTTTCTTTCTGTTTCTTTTTTGCGGAACTGGGGATTGAACTCGCCCTTGTGCTTGCCAGGGAAGCACTTATTCCACTGAGACATCTGCCCAGCCCTGGGTTGTTTTTTTTTTAATTGGATTGATGTTATTTGGACTTCTATGTGCTTCGGTTAGGGAAACTTCCCATATTTGGGAAGTTTTCTGCTAATACTTATATATGTATTAACTCCCTCTTTGCCATTGATGGCTATTAGTTTCACGTTGTTCATCTTTGCATCATCTTGCAGGTGATGAATTATTTTTTCCTTCATCCTAGTTGTTTTTAAGAGATCTTTTCTTACATTTTCACTAGCTGTGATGGTGTCAAGATCTGAAACTATCTTCACTTTTACTCAGTTTTGCAAGCTTGTGATGGAGATTTTAAGTTCCTCTATGTCTCTTTGACTCTGTTTCATGCGATCTGTTTCCTTTCTATATTGCTCAAAGATTCTATCATTTTTCTAATTTCTATTTTTTAATCAGTGTTCTTGAGAAGCAGTTATTAATTCTTTCATTATAGTTACCCTTTTTTTACTTCAGAAATTAGTTCTGATCTGATTTCCTCTATAGTTTCTGCAGTTGATTCTTCAGATGCTATTAATTCAGAGATTTCTCTTTTTATTTCAAAGGTTATTTCTGATCTGAATTCCTCTGTACCTTTCTGCAATTGTTTCTTTACTGCAGTCTATTAATTCAGACATTTCAGCTGTGTGATTCCCAGTTTCTTCTTTGGTAGTGTCTTCTACATTTGTTCCAGGTGGGCTCAGAGCCTGAGATTGCATATTGTTCCTTCTCTTTGTCATTTTGTATAGCACTTTCCTCTGACTTTTGGTGCTGAGCTTTGGTGCAGTTACAACCTTAAGCACCTACTGAAATTCTTACCCAAGTGAGATTATATGATTAAGGTAGTTATAGTTTTGTATTTACAGAACTATATAAGGAACACTAAAAATATGTAATATTTAGCAGTTGAGAAACTTTTGTAACTAGTGGCTTTGTATTTTAGACAGTGCAAGCAATCATTATGTCTATATAGCTAAGCAGATATTAAATTGGGAATTTGTATTTAAGTTAATTCTGCTAAGTTCTGTCTGATTGCTTCTCCTTGACATGCCTGGTGTTTTCCAGGCAGACTAGTTCACCCCAGTTACCTTTTGCTCCCTCTCTCAGTTAATAGAGAGAGAGAGAGGATACTTTTACAGATCTTGATCTAGCGAAGTGTTTCAGCTTACCAGGTGCAGATCTACAAAGTTTGAATTCATCCAGTTGTACCTGGCTTAGGTCTGGCTGCTGTGCTCAGCTTCTTCCTGCTGAAGCCCTTGGAAGTGGACCTGCTGTGCCCCTCTGCAAGATGTTCTGCTCCCCGATAAACTGGGTGGTTCTGGCCCCAGCCTCTCTGCAGGGACTTCAGTAGCAGAGTTTCACACCAGGCCTGTATGCCAGGCCTGGGCTGGGTCTGCAGGGGTCCAGAGAGCAGGACAGAAGTTCTCATTCACAAGTGGGCCTGAGTTGGGTCTGGAAGGATTCAGCAGGTGAAAGGGAGTGCAGAAGCTCTCCTACATACATGCACGGCCTAGGCTTGCACGGTGGCAGAAGTTCTCACTCACACACTGGGCCTGGGCTGGTTCTGCAGTGGTTCAGAGGGGTCAGGAGCACAGGGCTGAAGATCTCATTCACATGCTGGGCTTGGGCTGGGTCAGGAGGGATACAGCAGGCACAGGGGAGCGCAGAAGCTCTCCCACAAACTCCTTGATCTTTTTAAAAAGTCTTAGTTTCGCCATTTTTGTCTTCTGTGTTTCTCTGTTCTTTGTTTTTTCCTTCTGCTGACTGTTGGCTTAATTTGTTACTTTTCTAGTTCTTATTTGTGATTATTTTTCTAGCGCCTTGTACAAAATTAGATTACTTAAGATCTTTCTTAATTTTTTATGTAGACGTTTACTGTAGTGGTACTCATTTTGCTATATGCCGTAAACTATTGGTTTGTTGTATTTTTGTCTCAAAATATTTCTGACATTCTCTTGATTTTTTTCCATTGCACCTTTGGTTAGTTGAGGGTGTGTTGTTTAATTTTTCATGTTTGTCAATTTTCCAGTTTTCCTTCTATCTTCATTGCTGTTTTTATTCCACTGCAGTCACAAGAATGCTTGGTATGATTTGAATCATCTTAAACTTGTTAATAACATTTTTGTGAACTCTCATGTAATCTGTCCTAGATTATGTTCTCTGTGCACTTAAAAAGAATGTGTATTGTGCTGCTGTGGACAAGTTCTGTAAATATCTGTTCAGCTTATTAGGTCTGTAACGTTGTTGAAGTCTGGAGTTTCTTAATTTTCTGCCATCTGTACATTTTGAACAGTGGAGTATTGAAAGTGCCTTTTGTGTAGTTGTTTCTCTTTTCATTTCTGTTGGTAATGGCTTATGTGTGGATACTCTGGTGTTAATGAATATATGATTACAGTTGTAACTTTCAAATGAATTTTGTATATAATGTTTTGTCTTATCCAATATAAGTATATCCACTCACACTTTTCTTTGGTTTTTATTCTTTTACTTTCAGCCTAATGTGAATCTCTGATAGGTAGTTTATAGCTAGATTTTTTTTTTTTAAATCCAGACAACCTCTCAATATCTTTTGATTGGGGAGTTTAATTCACTTATATTTAAATTAGATGCTGAAAAGGAATGGCTTGTTTTCTATCTTGAAGCGGTCTTGTTCTTGTTTTCCTTTCTGTTTTTGTCTTCTTTTACATTCTGTTAATCTTTTGGTATTACCCTTTCATTCTTTTCTTTTGTATATCTTCTATAAATATTTTCTTTCTTGTTAATATGGGACTTGCATAGAAATAACTTTGAACAACCTATTTTAAGCTTATACCTTCAATTGCATATGAAACCTCTGCTTTTATTCTCTATTTTATGTTATTGATCTCACAAATTACATCCATTTATATTGTATATTTATTAACATTTTTGTGGTTGTTTTACTTTTTTCTTTTAAATTCTATACTAGAATTAAGTGAGTTTATTCATTATTTTAAAGGTACTTCATTTTCTCTCAATGAATTTATAGAACTTCTTATTTGTTAGCCAATTTTGTTGCACAGTTCTAAATTTTGTTTTAAAATTATTAAAAAACCTTTTTAATAGTGAAATTTTATATAAGTTGGATAAACCTAACATTAATTTTCTTGCTTAAACAGACTTCTGAGATTGATGGTTGGTCATATAGAAGAAGCCCTTGAACCTATAGTATTCTGAAAAATCAGTTCAAAAGATCGAAAAGTACAAAAGGTAAAGATAGGTGCATCTTAGAAGGCACCGTACAATGATGTTTTTCCAAAATATTTTATAAAGGAACCTATAAACACTTTGACACACTTTCTCGTTTGTGTTAATGTATTGCGAAGCATTCACTCTGCAGCAGTTATGTCCAGATACTACTTCAGATAATCGGTATACAGTGGTGAACAAGATAGAAGTCATCTGTTCTCTCATTAGGGAACACAACCAGTTAAGAAATGAGGAATTTGTGTAGTACTGTACAGGGAATTAAAAGGGTGTGCTAGAGACTTGTGACTAACTTTCATTAGGTAATCAGAGAAGGGTCATCCAAAAAGAGTCATTGTGTTTGAGATAGAATGGCAAGAAAGTGCCAGATATGTGCAGAATAAAAAAGTAAATCTTGTAAAAGAATAGTCTTTTATTCAGAGTCTACCATGTTTCCCAGCATTAGGACAAGAGTAATCATGTTATACTTAAGGAATGGAGAGCAAATTTGGCTGGAATATGGTAATGGATAAAGTACATTAGTCAGTACTTACTAGAGCCAGCTATAGAAGAGTGCAAGAGATCTCTTGGCACACTAAAGACCCAAAGCATCCAGCTAAAGGCCTAGATAGAACCCACAGCAATTTCCTCCATGAATCCACCTGGAGGCCTAGAGCCCGTGACAATTTCTCATGCAATTTTGTATCAAGGAACTGCACTGGGAAGGCCCAAATGCCATTATAGAAGTTAGAATGTCTGCTCCAGCCAGGTGAAGGATCTGTGCCAGCAGGCTGAAGGATCTGCACTGGAGCCAACAAACAGTACTCAGGCCAAAGACCAGGACTTCCCACCCCCAAGAGAATAGCAGAGAAAGAATAGCCAACTTTGTTGTTTTCTTTTTTTTCATAATTTTACTGATAAATAGCGATGAGACATTTTCAAACCAAATTGCTAGGACAGTTTCAATAATTAACACATTGCATACATTCTTCCTAGTGAGTATTTGCTGTACAAGATGCAGACATGATATCCTATTTATAAATTCTATTAGAACAAATCCTTCCATGCATTAAGAGAATGTATGTATCTATCCTAACCATTTTGAACACACAGATACAAAATGGACATTCATCTGTATCCCCTTTTTTGTTAAGTTCTGTTATTTGGATATTATAGGTGTGTTAACTCAGCAAAATATTTTAAAAGAGTCCAGTAGTCCATAATAGTATTAGGTCTTCCGCTTCACTGGCAATATCAGAAATTGTTGACCTGAGTTCCCTACAGCTCAACATAACAGCATGGCTTTACTTCTTATACATCGTTTTTATACTTTTCTGCTGGATGGTTAAGACCAAGGTAAAGCAGGACCTATGCAACAAGAGTTGTAGCTTTTGGATCTGATAGGTCAGTGAAATCCCCTCAGGATTTATGCTGAGATCCTATACCTCAGATTGTAGATCTTTTGTTAGTGTCAGCCATGTGGATAAGTCACGGCCATTGCTTGGTCATTGCGCTCTCTGTGAAAGCCTGAGAGAATGTTTTCTCTCCATGTGACTCTCCTTAGGCACACTCTACATCATCGATCACTTTCCTATTTGGCCCCATGATCTCCTTGATCAGAAAATTTGGGTCACTACCGAGTTACATGGTGTAACAGTACAAGTTCTCATATGTCCTGAGTCTTAAGACCTTGGAAGGCTAGGGCCAAAATGTTGGCTTTCCTTGAGGCCCTCCTTTTTCTCTAATTTTGGTCTGCAAACTTAGCTTGTTAACCCTCCAGAAGACAAGCTTATTGTTATTACCATACAACCTAGGCTGTTAAGCTTAACCTCACTATCTGTCTGAATATCAAACATCTTAGGCATAATATGGAACAGGTATTTTTCATCAAGTATTGATATGTTGAACTTTAGGTCCCTATAGAATATGATGAAAAAACATTTAAGAATTAGAGTATATTTTAAAAATAGTCATAAAAATTATATAATTCTTATGTTTACACATAAGTCCAAGAATCTAATCATATACAACCTTGAAGCAGGACAGTCCCACAGCATTCCTTTTCCTGTCTCCTGCCAAGAATAGCCAACTTTGTATCATGATACAAAGTTACGGCAAATTTCTCCAGAAAAATCAACAGCATTCAGTCTTCCCCTCCTTTTCTCTCTTTATGTGGTTCTGCAACCATCTACAGGTGAGCCTTTAATGCTACACTGACCCAGTACCACCAGGCATTCTAACTTACGTTGACCATGAGCTAATCCACCACAAAAAGTATATGGAGAGGAGAGTACATGGAGGCCAGGTTGGGAAAGAAAATTGAGACAGAAACTTTATTGAGGAGAGTCAAACATTCTGAAATGACTATGATATTTAGATCACCTTTAAAATCTGGAGAAATGTCAAAATGATAGTGTGGATATGTGACCACAGTTGAAAAATTTTAACAAATAGAAGTGATGAAGAAGAGATTATAATAACTCACTTGGGTCCCAAATTTACTGATCAAGGAGATTATGGGGCCAGAGCGGAAAGTGATCGATGATGTAGAGTGTGCCTAAGGACAGTTACATGAAGAGAAAACATTCAGGCTTTCACAGAGAACAAATTGATCAAGCATTGGCCATGACTCATGGCTAACGCTGACAAAGGATCTACAAACTGAGATACAGGATTTCAGGTTAAATCCTGAGGAGATTTGACTGACCTTGTCACATACAAAAGTTGGATTTGTTGTTACATAGGTCTTGCTTTATCTTGGTCTTAACCATCCAGCAGAAAAGTATAAAAACGAAGTATAAAAGGTAAAGCCATATTAATATGATGAGATGTAAAAGGCTTAAATCAACAACTTCTGACATTGTTAGTCCTATGGATAACCCACTACTATTATGGTCTACTGGACTATACTGGATTATTTTGCTGAATTTGTGCACCTACAGTATTTAAATGACAATGGAATACCCATCTCTGACAAAACTAAACAAAAAGGGATACAAATGAAGGACCATTTTATATCTATATATACAAAATAGTTAAGATAGACATACAGCTACTTACTCTTAATTCATAGAGAAGGATTTGTATTAATAATGTTTGGACAAGATATCATGTCCACATTTTGTAGTATGAATAACCATGACAAAGACAGCAATATGTAATGTATTAATTATTGAAACTATCTTACTAATTGGTTTTGAAACTGTCTCATTGCTATTTGTTTCTCAATAAAATTAATTTTTTAAAAGAGATTATGTTTAATAAATAGAAGCAGTTATCTACATCACAACTACCAGGAGCTCAAAAAGAGAATGCAATAAAGTACCCATTAGATATGACAATATCCAATTATGTTAGATGTTTCTCTTATTATTAAAAGTGAAAATTCTCAGTGAAGCGGTAGGAATAAAAGTCTAAGACTGGGGCCGGGGAGATGGCTCAGTAGAATAAGCGCTTCCCTGGCAAGCGCAAGGGCCTTAATTCAATCCCCTATTCCACACACACTAAAAAAAAAAAAAAAAAAGTCTAAGACTGATGAGAAAAAAAAAAAAGACTGATGAGAAGTGAAATATTTTTAGCTAGATATGGCAAACAATTAATTTTCAAAATGCAATTAAATTTCACTAATTTTTGAAACACCATTAAAGCATTTAGCTATAAATAAAAGTTCATAAATGATGCAACTTCACAAAGACAAGGGGAATGGGATCACAAACAATAACAACAGAATTTTGAAAACTGACTTGCTAAAAGAAATGTAGTAACTTTCTTTCCTAGAATCTTGAACAGGTTTTGGGAAAATTTAGAAACTTCTTAGCACTATAACACCTCTAACATTTTCATGAATGGGAAAATATTTTGCTCCTAAAATTAAGAGTGATAGTGGTACTAGGACAGGATGATTCTTTTTTTTTTATTTTTATTCATTTTAATGAGACAAAAGATAAAATAGCAGTGAAACAGTTTCCAAACAGATTAGTAGGACAGTTACAATAAGTTAATACATTTCAGTTTACTTTCTTTGTAGTAGTTATTTAGAGGACAAGATGAAGAAATACTCATAGAAAACAAATACATGAAAAAATGTTAATCACTAGTCATTTGATAAATTCAAACTAAAACAACACAGAGATTCCATATCGCCCCAGAAAGAATAGCCACCACCAAGAAGTCAACCAACGACAAAGGGGCTAGTAGGACTGTGGGAGAAAAGGCACCCCTCTACGCTGCTGGTGGGAGTGCAAGCTGGTACAACCACTACGGAAATCAGAGTACAGACTTCTCAGAAAGCTAGAATTGGAGGTCCCACTCAACCCAGGTGGTTACTTTTTTGGTATTTTTGGAAATGAACTGAAATCATCAACAGGATGATTCTTTACAAGTTTATTTAAGAGGTGATTATACTCTTTAAAAACATACAAAATTGATATTTTGAAAGTGAACCAAAAACAAAAGACGTTTTAAAAAGGGAGCAGCCTGCTCAGGTCCACTTCTGTCCCTCTCTTGGACGGAAGCTTTCTTTCCTCCAATAAAAATAATCTGCTTAAAAAAAAAAAAGAAAGAGAAAAGGAGAGAGAAAAACTAAGAAAATAAGGGGCATTGTTTAGGACTCCAGCATTCATACACTAATACGAGTTCTAGAAAGGTAATAGCAGAAATAAAGCAAGAAACAAGAAATAGGGAATGATTTGAGCAAACTCCAGAATACACCAGGCCTGCTATGATGGCCCTGCCCCTGGGAAATGCTGAGGGGTCAGTTAAGACTGGGCATGGTGGTGCTTGCCTGTAATCCCAGCTCTTGGAAGGCTATAAACAGGCAGATCACTCCAAGTCTGATCTAGTAGTGAGACCCTGAACCCCTCTAGACCCTTCCCTAAAGTACAAAAAAAAAAAAAAAAGAAAGAAAGAAAAAAACTCCAGAATGAAAAGTCATGAGTTTTCAGTTAGAGCTTATTTAGTGACCAATACTGATGTAAAAACAAATCCAAAACAGGACACATTACTAGTTTAGAACAAAGTATGGC